TTTTTTTTTTTTTTTTTTTAATAGATACAGCAAATTTCAGAAGAAATTGGAGAATGAAATATGATTCGTTTACCTGTAATTTAATGGCGCCCCGCTTTCTCTATCTTTTTACGATTTCCTGGCTGTATTTCTAACTTGTTAATTATTCTTATTCCGCTTGTTTTTTTAGTGTAAATTTTTTTTTTTATGTTGATTATGCAATCATGTAAGATAGTGGACTTTCTCATGGGGATACACGGTTCAAACTTTTGAAACCGATTTAGAATGGTGTTTCCGATGCAGTGTCCAAGTCAGAATACGTTAATGCCACACAAAGAAAGCGTGTATCTTCGGATGCGACACGTGACGTCGCATGAATCGAGAGCCGGACTGTGTGCCAACTGCTGTCTCGTTGGACTTTCCACGTCGTTTGTCCGCTACGAGATCTCCTTCTCGCGCTACGTATTCACTTTTTTGAATAAATAATTACATTCAACTTTGACGAAATTTTCTAACTCTAAAAAAAATAAACTTTATTATTTTTTTTTTATATCATCGTGGTCATAATTAAACGAAATACCAAGTGAATTCATCAAAAAATTATAGTTCGAATCTCTATAATTACATTAATATCAAAAATATCAAATACAATACAAACCTAGTCATGATAACCATAACCATAAATATAAGAATTTATCGAAAACTTTGCACCGATATCAAAATAGTCGATCAACCTAACCTAAAAAAAGTTTTTTTCGATCGTTAAAGATTAACGTTATCGATGTTAGAAGGAAAGAAAAATGAATATAATTGAGACAATTCTCGAATCAGATTCAATAAGCGACAACAAACGGAGAGAACAGGCTTAGAAAGGAATGCAAAGCCGAGAGAGCGAGACAAGAGAGTTGCACAGCGAGTCAGTGACGCCTCAAACTCTCATTTGTAGCAATACTCGCGCCTATGACCGTGGAACACGGTTATAGATACATCGGGGCCACCGCGTGGAACGAGATCACCAGTTTTGCTCTCTCTCGGTCTTTATCCAATCGACTTAATCGACCGTACGTACACGTCCCTCCTCGTTGCCGCAAGGTGCGACTGCCAGCAATGGCCATTCAATTCGATCTCTTTCTCGAGAGCGAGGCCGATGAAATAAGAATGAGAGAGAAGAAGAGACGTCGAGTTCCAGCAATTTATTTGTACAGGGCGCGGCGGACATCTCGATGGAACGTGCAGTTTTTTTCGTTTCTATTCTTGGGAAAAATATTATTTCGAGTTTGCTTAGTAATTTTTCTCGAGATATATATCGGTTGAACATGCAGGTTCCTTTGTTACCTACAGATTTCGCCATTTTCGAATTTCTTCCATGTCAATGTGCAAGTTTTCCTTGAGAAGATATTTATTGCGATTTACATACCTTCTCCAACATACTTTGCAAACTAATTTATTCAACGGGGTTGAATTACAGGTTTTCTATTTCTAGTTTTTTGCGAAACAGATTTCTAGACTATTTTATTAATAATTTTTTTTTTAAAGCTTCGATAATTACAATGTTTACTATAACAACGATAATCATTAAAATAAAATATGATTGCGATAATTTTTCTGGTTTTAAAAACCAGAGGCAGAATTTACTTGAATTTCACGATAGAAAATTCTGAAGAATGTATGGATTTTAAAAATTCAAATTCGATTAAATTTTTAATTTTAAATTAATAAATAGGAAATAGTGTGTTCTCCATGTTAATGGAAATTGTTAAAAAATCGATATGCAATATCCGTTTTCGTCTCTTTCAAGATAACAACGACCATCGTCGATTTCCAATCATCTAATACATTACAAAAGGAACACGAAGGTTCAATTGGTCCTGCAGAGATCTCGAGATGTAGAGGTTTCTTTTAATTTGGTAGTGGCTCGATTAAGTCCCGCTAAATAGGAGTCGTTCAGCCTCGCTGCTCGAGGATTGAATCAACCGCCATTGAACCAAATAGCCCGAGGTCATCCTCCAAAGATTCCCATTAACAATCTTGAATTACACACTATTCATCCTCTTTTCACCGTTTTATCAAAATCATACCAGCCAACTGCACGACTATTTTAAACTAACCTAACTTGCAAATTATCGAATAATTATCGGTGGATAATCACTCGAAACTTTGAAATGTTAAAAATTCGATAAGTTTAATACAGGTTAAATTATCGTTTAAAAATTAACTACTAGAAATTGAAAAATGTTTAGTCTTTCGAGAATATTGAAAAAAAAAAAAAAAAAAAAATAAAGATAATTCGAAACTTCGATATTTCGAAATCCACGAATCGCATAAATTATCTTCTCATGAAAATTATCTTCGATGTACGCATACAAATTCCATTTTTATAAAAGTAAAACGAAATCTCAGGTTCAGACGATTTCGTTCGATCGTCGACGGTTCATTGAAAATTACGATCGAAGAAATTTCATGCGGAAAAAGTCGAGGACTCGACACGTTCGATCACGTTCAGAGTTATAAAAAGAAGAAGGAGAAAAAGAAGGGGAAGAAGAGGAAGGAAAAGAAAAGAAGATAGACTCATCATCGAGCAGCAATTCCTGCCGTTCTTCGCGCGAATAAAAGGGAAGGGGTTCCGTTATGAAGAATCGTCAATTACGGAGCAGCTTCCTGCACCCGCCTTTCCGTCTTGTTGCAACGGTTTTTGCGCCGCTCCCCCCTCCTTCCTCTAGGCACCGGTAAATTAATGAATCAGCGACACAACCTTGCTACGAGTGATTCTCCGCCTTCTCTTCCTACGCTCGATTTCTTCTTCGGTCTCGATTATCTCCTTCGATGCAAATTGATCTTCCTCGTTTGCCTACTAGTCGCGTAGATCGATGTTTCCCATTGGTGAAGTATGTAGCGTGTCTAAGAAGATAATTTGAATATTTTGGAGGGATATACGCGTATTTTTTTGAAATTTTGAATTCTCAAAGATTTTTTTGATAATTCGAAATTTTTATTAAATCAGTTAACATATCATGTAGCGTGCCTCATAGGAAGATAATTTGAATAATTTGAATGTAATTAATAAGATACACAAAATCTTTTGTAATTTTTAAAAATTTCGAATTCTCGAAACATTTTTCGAATTCGAAATTGAATTTCGATGTTATAGGAGAAAAATTTGAATATTTTCGAGATAATTAATACAAATGAAATATACGAAATTTTTTTGAAAAATTTTTTGCCATTTTTCAAATTTTGATAAAGCAGAAAAAAAATCTCAATGTGGAATATCTTACAAGAAGATAAATAAAATAAAATAATTCTCTAAAATGAAATAATTCTCGAGACTTTTTGCCAATTTTTTCGAATTCGAAATTTCGATAAAAGAATAATTTAAAAAAAAAAATATCTTAATTTAATAATAGGTAATCTCATTATCAATTTTTGAAAATACAAAATATAACATACAATATATATATTAACACTCTCAAGAAAACGAGAATCTTTTTCTTCTCGATAAACTCGTCCCTGAAGAGAAGAAAATTCTTTCCTAAGTTCGATATATTTTTCTACCTTTCCTTTCTCCTCCTTTTCCTCCTTTTTTTTTCCCCCTGAAAAAAAAAAAAATGTTAAAAAATAAAATCGTAGAAGTTTTTAGAGAGTATCGTGGCTGTCGTTATTATCGTATTTATTATTGTTCTTGGGTTTTAGCCAGTTTATCGCACGAGGGCACAGATACGAGAGCAATGCCAACCCCACTGTGTTCCCCGGATAAGTTTTACCGATAAGGAAAAAGCATTCTTGTTCCCGATAGACTACTGGAACACCTACCTTATTATATCCATTATTTTCTTCTTCCTTCAATATAATTTCTAAAAACTGCCTTTTCTCAATTTAATCGCTCATAGTGTTATGCAAGTGTAGTGTATTTCCAAAAAATTCTCCAACTTTGAAAAAGAAAAAGAGGAATACAAATTATACCAAGTTTTTGAATTTCCAAGGCTCAAGCCTCTGTTCATGCATAAATAAATATAAAAACAACGTAATGGACGAAAACCAATTCTTACACTGATAAAAATCCACCAACCCTTCTTCTCATTCCGGCTAAATCGCAAATTACCACGCGAAAGAACGTGAGGAAATTCGCAACGTTATCAGCTCTCTCTCCCATAAACGTGGACTCACCACCGTGCACACAAGGTGATTCATAAATACAAATCCATTGAAAAT